ATTTCAAATTAATTATTTTTCGTACATGAGCAAGTTAATGAAAGAATAGTAAATAGTAAGGAGAAAACAACAACCTGGAATCGAAGTAATGTTCCCAAGTCATTCAAAATGGAATGCAACAGACATGGGTGTAATTGAAAATCTTGCTTTATTCCGTGTAAAATTATCTGTTTGTCAAAATTGGACATGCTCGTCCAACATGATACATGTGGGTCGCTATAAAAGTGCAGCAACGCGACGTTAAACCCCACGTCACCCGACCTTGGACATGAATCATGTTTAATCCCTGCTAAATTGCTACTAATGCATCTTTACTCTAAATCACTGGATTGTCTGGTCCAGATTTGATTATTTACAGACCGCCGTAATATAGCTGAAATATTGCTGAGTGCGGCGTTAAACAACAAACAAACAAACAAACAAATGCTGTCTATGTGCATATTTCATGATTAAAAAGCTTCATTTCCAAACGCTTCGTGTCTAGTTTGACATGTTTGATATAGTTTGTTATAGTTCCTTATGTTCGTTAATACATTAACAAGCATAAAATAAATGTCGGAAAAACAACACTGGAGAAGATAATTGCTGTCGACATCCACGTCCCTTTGGTGCGTATAAGCACAATTGTAGCGTTAAATCCTAACGCCTAACTTCATTCTATAAGAACAATTCCATTTAAAATTTATCTCACGCTGGAATTCTTTTACATGAGCACATTGACAACAGGAGTTTGAATGCTTTACAAGGCAACATGCCAGTGTTACCAAACATTTAGTCGCACTGTTTGATCCATACTTACAAAGGGAAATTAGAAGTGAAGTTAATGAGCAGAGGAATTAGTCAGCTTTCATATTCAGGTATTGAGAAGACAAAGCGCTAACGTGTTGTAGAGAACAGTAAGTGTTGCCAGGGGAATCCTTGCTCTCGTGTAGACAGCTCAGAGATCAGTTAACACACACCAGTGACACAGGAAGTTGTTCCATAATGAATATTGCCACACTAAATGACACTTAAGTTGAAAGAAAATCCATAACTATAGGCAGTTAATTGCATACTTTAGTCTCTGGATTCACAGCTTGGGAATACAGGTCGTATTGCCAAGGATAAAGTAGACGTTAAATAACGAATTTAAATTATACATTAGCTACTTTTCTTTGTTATTTTTTAAATGTTCAATACTTGTTTAGATTTAATGACGAACATGTGTTCCCTGGCTGTTTGATGACCATTAAGTACAAGAGACACCTGGCAGCTTACTGGTAAAACATCAGCCTCTTTGAGTATCTATATAATAACATTTCTGTAGCGTGTGTGTGTGTGTGTGTGTGTGGCTGCCTATACTAGTCCGATTTTATAGTGCTAGGACACTGAGATACCATGCAACAGTTTAACATGAATACCCCACTCAGACACAGTATGCTGACTCCGAGCTGACCAGTCCTTCTTTTAGCCCCATAATGCCGAGCGCCAGGCAAGGTAACAACAAGTACCATCTTTTGACGTCTATTTGTATGACGTGGCCGGGTATCGAACCCCTGACCTTCAACACTCCGGGCGGACGCTCTGCCACTAGACCACTAAAAATGTAATGATAACATTATTGTTTGTGTTATACTGATTTCATCAAGAGAAAGATGGAGAAGATTTGGACGTTTGTACACATAGGAATGTAATATTTCTTTACTTATACGTTACGTTATTGGTTTTAGTAAGGGCGGGTGGCCCAGTCGTCTAAGGCGACGCAAGTCGCTGTGCAGAGTTGTGTCCCTTGGGAACGCCAGAAACCTATGATCGTGGGTTCGAATCCCGGTTCCCCCCGATTATGTTTCTAGGTTTGTCAGCACCATACCCGTACTCCTAGGTTTTCTGAATCTTGCATCGATTGTGACAATTCTTCTCACCTAAAGCTGACACGCCGTGATATAACTGGCATACAGTTCAAAACGGCGTTAACTCCAGCTCAACCACTCATTCACTTATCTGTTGGTAGCATGATGATGGTACATGACACTGAACACACGGCAAACGTTGAATATACATGTGTATTACCTCTCGCTAAAGCATCTTGGAATGATATAGTGAGTGAGTGAGTGAGTGAGTGAGTGAGTGAGTGAGTTGGGTTTAACGCCGCTTTTAACAGTATTCCAGTTATATCACAGCGTGTCAGCTTAATGTGGGAGGAAAGCCCGAAGTGATGCAGGTCTCAGACGTTTACCACTTCGGTGAAACCCACGAGCACGGGTATGGTGCTGACAAACCTAGAAACATAATTGGGGCGAACCGGGATTCGAACCCACAATCATAGGTTTCTGGCGTGCCCAAGGGACGCAACTCTGCACAGCGAATCGCGGCGCCTTAGACGACTGGGCCACCCGTGCCCCCGGAATGCTATAGAGTGAGTAACAGATTACAATTCATTCCAAAGGTAGCATTGAGGCTAGTCACTCACAACATATACTGATGGTACTTGGACTGACGTGAACGCATAACCATCAAACTGGCATGAGTGAGTGGTATTTTACGCCGCAACACTTAACTAGAGATGCAAAACAGGGTATCACCGTGTGCTTATGTACTATTTAGAGTGAGTGAGTATGGTTTTATGACGTTTTTAGCAATATTCCAATATATCATGGCGGGGACACCAGAAATGGGCTTCACACATTGTACCCATGACGGGAATCGATCCCGGGTCTTCGGCGTGACGTGCGAACGCCTTAACCACTAGGCTACCCGCCCGCCCGGTACTGATTAGAACCAGGCAGCTCCCGTCAACGGTCGAATTTACCAAAAAGAAACACTGTGTACAGAAATATTGTGATTTTATTGATCATTCAAACAGTCTTTCAAACAATGATTCAACGTCTTAACATGAATCACATTTCCACTAGATGTGGACTAACATAATAACAACAAGAAGAAGTGAGTGGGGTGAATGATTGAAGGGTCTAGTGCCAAGTGATGGTGGAGAGATGCTGTCATATTTGCTGCTTTTTACTGCACCTGTTTCTGATAAATATTTGTCTACCTTTGGCACAAGCCTGAAATGATAGTGTTACAACAAATTAGTTCAAATGCCAGATGTCAAAATGTTATTAAATCTTTTAAGATTACGTATTCTTGAGTGTTTATCGTTAAGAATGATTCAAATTATTCATGCAATATAATTAAAAATGTTTGAGTTTTGGAGGTATAAACGTATAAACCAGGGGGCACACTTTGCGTAAATCAGCGTAGCATACCTGTGTTGTTTAGTTTATACCCCCATAAACGCAGTCATATGTCGAAGTCAATTTTTATAATACATGTCAACAACATTAACCTTATAGATTGATTTTTCAAGCATTAACACTAACATCTTTAGACAACGATATTGAATCAGTGACATGTTCAGCTCAATAGGGCAACACAAGCTCCACCCACCCCATTATCAGCCAATCAGGAAACAATACTCCGGTAGTTGGGGCGTGACCTATTTTTTCGGTTCATTGAAACATGAACGCAAAAAATACTTGGTTAGCCAATCAAATGCCTTGGAACGCTTGCAACATTTCATTAAGAGGTGTGTCATACTATACTCAGACACATTCTCACTATAGTAAATGGTTGAAACCGGTTTTCCGTCGCTAAGACGCAGCAATTGTCGACCAAGCAGATCGGGGTCCTTTCATGAAGTAACGTGTATATCACAAACAACACTTGCACTTGAACATGTGGCACTCTCAGATCTAAAACAGTTTGCAAAGGCTAACAGGTGTATTGAGCTTATGTATATAAGCTGAAAGACAAAAACAAGGTAACGATAACGATATGAGATCAGTGTTCTACATCTACACATCAGTTGTAGTTGATTGACCCGTTTGAACTGTGGGCATACTGCCGAAACCATGTTTAAACAAACTTTGCAAAAAAAAATTGGATGTTCATTATCTTATATAGGTTTGATTAGCACAATACATTCATTTTAATCTGTTTGCATCGAACATACACGTTTCAATCTTCTAGAATATGCATATGTCTAAAGCTTCTATAGAAACATGAAGGCACGTCGACATTGTTACTCTACATCTTGCACATAAACACTACATACGATGGCAAACGTAAGTGGACTGTATACATAGGAACTGTGTGAATAAATAGTATGACATATAACTGTTATGTAGCTATGTATGTACATGTCAGTCAGCATAACTAATCACAAGTTATATCTATAACAATATTGAAAGGCATAACTTATTGCTTCAAAATCATATGAAGATTTTAAATTAGGTTACTCTTAGAAAACATGATTGGAGCTTTTCACGTACAGATTTCCAGACAGCAGTCCAGATAATGAAAAGGGAACAAACAAAGTATGGTACGCGTTGTTTTCATTTTATTTTGCAGATTTTTGGCTGGTGCAAACTTTAACGGCTAACACTTAAACTCTATTTGGTCGGGTTTCATGCAGCATTGAATAGTACTTCAGAATACAACGGTGTCTGCGTAATGTGGGACGTAGCTCAACGCGATGCGGTTAGAGCCATCGACCATCGAGCACGGTGTTCACAGACCTAAGGGTCATAATCCGGGCTTCAGTTGAAACTACCGATCAGTGTATCATGGTACAACTAGGGGACGCTACTCTGCACTGCAATTAGGTAAGCTAGAACCATGAAATACATGGACTTCAAATCGTACTAAAGACATCGGTAGATTATATTATCATCTCCATCAAGAGGGTTACTCGTGATTTCAGGTGCCAAAAACATGCACACGAGGATGGATGCAGATATCTGATTGGCCAAGGAAGTGTAAAATAAAACAAAATGTCGGCGAAAGAGGGAAATTTATTTCAAGGTCTATGACAATTTCAGGAATACGGAAACATTCTACAATGTAGGGTTATGTAATAATCCTTGGATTTACTTCTTCAGTGACTGCACTGATTTGGAGGAGGGTGCGCGTTAAAGGTAAGCAAGAATACGGATGCCTACCGATTTTGAAATTAGGAAACCACAAACAACATGTAATGTGTCATAGATCAGAAGGATTGGTCTCAATAGCTGGCCTAATACCGAGGGAACAGTCACCGGTACTGTGGCGCTTCATACCCTATTTGGCATGTTAAACAATATATACACTAGTACATAACACATTATAACATGGTAAGAATATAAATGCCTAAGACAAGATAGCACTCATACGATCATTCATATCATGGCATTGCTAACAGAAGGAAATTCAACAGTGAGAAATTGTGTAATACAATGTGGCTGAAGTGCCGAATAGTGTGATGAGATTTATCTGAAACATCTCTTTTTTCTACTACTCAAATGAAATGGCTATATCATATTAAATAACATCAACATTGCACAGATGGGATATCATAAATATTTTTGGAGTGAGAAAGATGTTGATATGGTTAAGTATGATTGTCACAGCTGAACCAGTCTATGGGCATCTAAAGTATATCCCGTTGACGATAAAGAGCAACATAGTTCATTGCACGAGGGAAGAATAACACTTTGTTTTACAGTTTCAAAACGTTCACAACAGAAAATCCCTTTGTTGTAGTCCAGATACCCTCCGCTATTCATTGCCAGGGCTTCACCTTTTCACAACAACCGTAAGTTATTTTTCTCTGAAACGAAGTGACATTCGTCTAATTCGAATGGCAGTGTCCATAACTGCATGCTTCTAAAACAACATATTCTTTCACACGAAATATACTGTAAATGTATCCGGATGTCGTTCAAATAACCACAGGAATTCCGTCCAAGAAACTATACATCCATCTTCAAATATGCCATGTCGTTGGTATATACACTGTGTACTGATACCTGAAGTTGTAGTCCATATCTTCTTGCAATGTTTGAACCATACTCATGGTTACCAATTCTTTCTACTCCATAACAAAATACAGCATCACAACCCTTGTTACCGTGTATCTCTATCCATCAACAGGAATTGTATTCTAACAGGAGCTCGTCATCAATATATTCCATTGTCATGTAATCCGGACGTACTTGTCCACCATTGTCCACAATTGTCCACCAGTCCAGTGTTATTCCACGTTGATGTAATACAGCCAGTACACCATTATGAACAATAAAAATGCCACGGGGAAGCCGATTCTGGAAGCTACGTCTAAATACATGGCGTATACTATCCCACGCTTGCCTTGTCGCTTTGTGCTGAAGCTTTCTCGACGTGGGCCGCCGTCCAATGGTGAGGATTGCTGCAAGAGAAGACACACAGATGTCAGTTTTCTTAGCAGAAACAAGTGCAAGGACACGTGTATCAAAGACACGATTTCCCCTTTAGCGAGCACTGGATGCACTTGGAGGTGAGGTGAAATGGTTTTTAACGTCGCGTCAAATATTATTGCACTTATATAATGACGTGCATGCACGTGTGTGTCTGCTTGTACTAGTCCGGACTCATGCCGATTTAATAGCCCACTTAGATACCATGCAGCAGTTTAAAATGAATACCCCACTCAGACACAGTATGCTGACTCCGAGCCGAACAGTCCTTGTTTAAGCACCTTAATGCCGAGCGCCAGACAGGGTAACAACAAGCTTTCAAGTGTTATCTTTAAACATCTTTTGGTATGACGCGGACGGGGATCAATTATTTTAGTCCTCCTACCACAGACAAAAATGATATTTCTTGAATCGCTGACTACACAAATATTCTGTCTCAAACAAAAATGTCATGAGAATATTCAAAGTGTCGGAACCCTAATTATGTATTCTGAAATCCGAAATGAATACCTCTGAGGCACTGATGTTTCTACTTACGGTACAACCAAAGATTCTTCGCTGATGTATTCTATACTGAAATATATGTATCCAAACAATATGCCAAACAAATTCTGGTCAAATCTGGATACATATGTCTACATCTGGAATGATATATTCAGCTTATGGTCCCTCTTCAATGTGGCCGTCTCTTTCTTAACGTGACAATACAGCTATGTTGAAGAAGGTATTTATCGACGTATTAGCTAATGGTGTAACATTGTGAATGGGTTTTACCAGGTGAAACACATTTTCCATAGATCATTGGTAAATGTTTTTTTTGATAGAGTAAGCTACAACGAGGAATATTAAACACTAAAATCCTCCCATTCCAAGATGTATTGATAGATATTCAGAGGTCAAATGTGTTACCGACATTCTCAGCTCAGAATTGCGTCCCTTAGCCGTGCCAGGATCCGCCTTTCTCTCAATGTGATAATTAGGTTTGTCAGCATCATGCTGGTGTAGGCGGGATGCACAAGATTGACCAAAGTTATACACATCTACATCCTGCTTCAGCTTTATATATCCGCCTAAATTTAGCTGACACGCCGTCATATAACTGGGGTACTGTTCAAAACGGCGACAATCCCAACTCACTCTTACAAGAAGCATTTCTAGGTTTGTCAGAACCATGAGCATTGGTTTCACCAAAGTTGTTGAGACCTGCATCACTTCGGGTGTTCCTCCCACATTAAGCTGACACGCCGTGATATAACTGCAATACAGTTCAAAGCGGCGTTAAACCCAACTCACTCACTAACATGAGTAAATATTTACCTCCTTTAGTTGATCCCCTTTTTCAAAATCTCTAGGAATACTGAAAACATTGCGTATCGTGAAACCAGACAGGGTTTCTTTGCGGCTCAAGACGTTGACGATAGCAAACTCCAGTAGTGCGGCAAATACAAACACCAGACAGGTGGACATCCACACGTCAATAGCTTTAGTGTAGGAGACACGCGGAAGCGAGGCATTGACCCCTGAACTTTGCGTTGTCATGGTGAGGACGGTAAGCACGCCCAATGAAATGCGGCCCGGAACTGAGTTGACGGTGAGCCAGAATGAGATCCAGGACAACATAACGATGAGGATGCTGGGGATGTACATCTGGACAACGTAGTAGCCGATGTTGCGAGCGAGGAAGAAGTTCGCCTGGAGGCAACTGTGAACGCCTATGAACAAGATAAACATTGCCGCATAAATAGATGTTATAAACTTACACAGGTATATTTTTACGTAATATTTTAATTTCGTCCAGTCATAATGATTGAAATGATGACAATATTAAAGTGTACATAAGTGTTTTGGTATTAGTCCCGTGAAGATCCCGGGTTAGAATTGGTCTTCAGCAACCCACAGAGACCCATTCTATTAATTTCAATGTACCCCGCTGACAAGTAAAGTGCATTATTTTATTTTATTATTTCCCCAGGTCGTATTACCGAACTGTTGGCATTACATTTGCAAGATACCAACAGCAATGTTGTATTTCGAATTAATTATGTAAGACGCCATTTTCCGGATAGTTACGATATTTTCCAAATGAAATACATCTTGGGGGAATAACTCTAGGTTTTGTTTTCTCCTAGTTTGCGTTGAATGTGAATGATGACCGAAGTGGATAAATCCGTAACTGTGGTATTTTTACAGATTCGGACCACATTCGTCACCACTCGCCCCTTTCCGTAACCTGCAAGAAGACTCGTCCCCCTATCGATGAATGTTATGTGCGAAAATACGACAAACCAATCAGAATGCGCGTATGATTTCAAGTTCTTCGTCAAAGAATCCCTCAGAAACAATTTTTGATTTAACATATATCTTACATCTAAAAATATACACAAGACACAGTTAAATGTGGTCAATCATACTGTATTATTACGCATGCCCCGATGTGCTTTAAATTGCATCTACAATATGTATAATATATGGGGAAATATATGTGAACCATTACGCAACGAGTTGACAATTGTTATAGGTATGCCCGTTTGCGCTAAGACGGAACCCGGTCGCAAAAATGGCTATTCGGCTTGTCCCGGAATAACACGAGTTGGTCACGAATGATTCGGACCAAAGCATGCATTCATAAGACATACCTGCAATATAATTAGGAGTGCGGTAAGATAATTCAAGTAAGGGAGAGAATTTATGGATGTCAGCTTCTTTATTATGAGGAGCACAACGTGTTATCAGGTGATAAATACAGTGTCAAGTAAAATGGTCACCTGATAAAGGAGTAAGAATATACTCCGAAACGTTGTGTTCCTCATAAAGAAGTTGACATCCATAAATTCTCTCACTTAAGATATATTCGTTTTCCACCGTCCCTCGGGTTCGGGGAAACACCTTATGATGTTGTCAGACTCGTTCAACGCGACACTGAAGTCACAACATCCTCGTTTATCCTGGGTATCACCACTCTGTTTTGATAAAACGTTGGAACCATCCTCTACCATAGCCTCGTTTTGGAAGTTAAGTCACCATTTCAGTCTCTTTAATCAGTAATTTCGCGCCGCTTTTGTCTCGCTCATGTGTGTAATTTGATTGGATGGCTATAATTTTGCTTTGACACTAGCGAATGGGTTCAGTGTATATTTATCATAATAGAATGGTGAAGTAATGACCAGATACTCGATCGATTATTAATAACCTGTACTCTGATGGTATTTCTTCCTGCATCTGTTTGGTTCCGAGCCTGTCACCTCGAACTGCGGCAGCTCCACGATGTCGTTGACAACGACGGCGTCGCTGTTGGTCGAATTCATCCATTTAAGGTTTAGCTTGTCCTCGGCGTATCCAACTGCAAATATCATGGTTAGTTAAAGCAACATCCAAATCAAATGTCAAAATGGTCCTTATCTTCAAAGTATCACCAAACTGATAATCAAGAGTCTATAGATAGATAACGTTGGGCAGGTGAATAGCAGTGATTAAAGCGTGAAAAATTGTTCACAGTTATATAAAAAATATGTTTACAATAATACACATACAAAGTTATAAACAAAGCATAGGCGATAGTTGTAAATCTAAGAATATTTTACAATGAAATATTCAGTCAAATACAAACTCAGACATAAACTTTAAATTGAGTGGTTGATGGAAGTAAGCTCAATGCTTGGCTATAACGCATATCATATCACAAATCGGTTGTTATATTTGTCTAATTGTAAATGTATGGTTGTCGATAGGGGCCATCGCTATTTCGTGATGAGATACCCACATGAGATACCCAAACGACAGTACGATGCGATATTGCGATACAGCCAAACACGAAACAGCGACAAACGCAACGACAATCACCACAGAAATTATTGAAGTTATAGAAATGTATTAACGGCAGCTTGACCCTCCGCCCCCGGTCCTAGTCCTCCCTCAGTCCTAGTCCGTCTTACAGTACTGACGAAACTTGACCTCAACACTACATTACAATAGTTTTTCACATGCTGATTTTAAATATGCATATTAACGATCATCGCATTTGTATCCCTTTTTTCAATCAGCATAGACCGACATGTAAACTCATATATGTATGTAAACGACATTATAACATTCGTGATTCATTTGAATCTCAATTACAGTTGCATTACAAGTGTATATAAAACCAGATCATATGTTCTCGTTAGTCAAAGTCCCCGTGTTGCAAACTTCTATTAAAAGTGCCATTTCCAATGGGTTCAATGAAATATCTTGATGGAAATTCTTTTAAGCGCCGAGTCGTATTGTTTTTAAGCTTGTTCCCATTTGTATGCGATGGAAAGAAAACACTGCAGGCAATTAAATTAATCCAACTCTCGTTACATAAGATCTAAAACCTTATCGCATTAAATGTTTCAATCAATTTCACTTTCAAATTTTCTTCTTCTTTTTTTTTCAAAATTGTATTCAGTCATAAATTCACGTTGAACTTCATCAACTTTACCCACGTAAAAACAAAATCAATTAACTTCAATTAGAATATTGCAAATCAATCAAATCAGTACTGAAAAAGTTAACACCGCAAACTGCCGCCCGTCACATCTTCCATGCGACAAGCAGGCAATCAGGTGACGGCTCAAAGGACTTGTATTGGATAGAAGTATCATCAGGGCCTTCACTCTCCGGGGTTGTATCAGGGCGTGACCTGCATTTAATGATGCAACGTTGAGTCCTGTGTTCGTCATTTGCTAATCAATCACGAAGAGAGAGAGACTGTCTACAATACACCCCCAAGGGGATGAAAGCAATTTCCCTTGCTCTTAGTAAACAAGTTCTCTTGACAGTATGCAATGATGGAGCGTTCGCATCTATTGCAGTGACAATACTTACAGCTCATGATCTGTACTGAACACGATTGTTTGTCGAATGGATAGTACCGCAAGTTCATAGGACAACTCAGGGTCATTGATAACCTGAAATTAAACGAAAGAAAGACCATCAATGCCCATTCTATGTCGGCCTCACCGCTGTAACATAAAGGGAGTTATCAGACTTCCATACAGATCAAATCAGGAATTTTATTAATTTGGACCAGGAACATCTTCAATGTTTCATTGTGTGGTGGCTATTTGGGTCCATATGAAAAGGCACCTTGAATCGTCGTAATAAATTTAATTACGACAGCGTGAAAGGACATTACCCTCAGGATAGGTTATGATGAGGTGGATAGTCGAAGGGTTTTAGTTCTTTGATGATGGCCATATCTGGTCCAAAAGAAATTATGACTTACATTAACAGGTGTAGTGTAACCATCATCGTATCATTATAATACTCTCTGGTCGAGAGTGATGGGGTCTAAAGACACACTAGGGGTAGAAATAGCTGAACTTTTGACATATACCACATGTATAGGAGAAGACTCGAGTTAGGTATTGACATTCTCATTTGAAACAAAATTTATGTTACGTTCAGCTATATGAAACTGAACCCGACTTTTATGTTTGTGTAACTTCCTGAGTCCCATGATGGAGTTCGAACCGCGAGGACGGATACCTTGTCCAGATGACCAAGCAGATTAACTCCGGCAGCAAACGGACATGGTAAGGTGTCATGTATGAGATGACTTCACGCCCAAAGACATTGCTGGAAGCGCTACATGTATAGGTACCGAAAACAGGAACCGTTGATCGTCGTTTCGAAAAGCAGATTTACGCCGATTTTGATCCTAAAAATACATTTTCAGCACCAGTGGACTAAATCGGAAAACCCTTGTGAAGATCGGGGTTAGAATTGATCTTCGACACCCCATGCTTATCTTGACTAGCAAGACTGTCTGGTCAGGCTCGCTGACTTTGCAGACGCATGTCATCGTGTCCTAAATGCGTAGATCGTTTCTCATGGTGTCAGTCACTGGACTATGTCGTCCATAGCTGGAATATTGCTAAATGTGGCGTTAACCAAGATTCAATCAGTCAATTAATAATCGCAAAGCTTACGTCTTCGACCAACGAAACGCCGTAATATAACCGAAATACTGTAGTTCAAATTGACGTTAATTCCAGGAAACCTACTTAGCTTTTTGAATGACAATCAGCAGCACCGACAACTCGGCTACCAATCAGCAAATTGTTAAATGAGCGAGTTGACGAAGACAGCTTTGTTTTATTCGTGAATGATGCTTGCATGGATTTCTTACCTAGATATGTAGAGAATCAACCCGTCTCGATACAATCGCATCATCTGATTGGCCATCATGACGTCATGGAAGCTTGCCCTTTTTTCATTAGGGAAGAATATATCTGGCACCCATATCCTTTGAATACTTTGAGAGTCAAATTCAAGAAATGTAAGATTTCCAAAAGATGGCCCAATGTTAAAGCTGACAAGACGCGAGTCTTTCCATTGTAGATGTAGTAAGACACTCAGGGTAAAGTCCTGAAAATAAGTACAAACAAATCATGAGTATATGCCATGTACGTATATACAGTGAAACTCCGTTAATCCAGACACTCCGCCTTCGATGTCGTTACACCCTGGCACGTCATACGAAGTGACTCGTTTATCCGGACGATTTTGCTACTATCCAGATTAACGGATTATCAGGGACGTGCTCTTCTTCCCAACAGATAATTGTCTACAAACGGTGACTCTTTTTCCTTTCTGTAAACATACATACTGTGAGAGTAAATCTTATCTGGTGCCTTGGTGACGGTTTCCTTAAAGTTAAAAAGTTACAAAGTAAACCTTATATCTATCCCTATGAGTTTTGACGTTCTGAAATTTAATGAATTGGTTCAGATTGTGTTATCTATTTTACCTATTTGCTACAATGAATACGAAATATATTCGATTTAATATATTTTGGAAACACGACTTTAATTTCTACTTAGTGTATAATTGCATTATTATTTTGTTGTATTATTATTATTAATAAAATTATTGAAATTTGATTCTGAATTAAAGTATATCAACTAGTACACCCTTTAAATAGTGAAGGATCTGTTTTTAGGTAAAATCCTTGGAAAACCAGACAACATTATCTTTCGACGTCAAATGGTAAATATTAGGGGAAGATAGAACTTTGTAATATCACAACTAAAATATATGAGAAGTATCAAAGCATACCACCAATTTTCATCGTGCCTTATATTGCGATTAGATATCGTAAACGCAGTTGGAAATTTTAAGAAGAGTTTATTTATAACCGATGGCTTGATAGTATACAGTTTATTTCTTGCAAATGATAAGGTATTATAAGAAGAACCCTTTTGGCCCAAAGGATCTATATTATTTAAGAAATGAGCAAAGCTGTTAGAAATCGTTATGAAAGTTATCATATAGTAGGATTAAAAACGAGACTTTGTTCATTAAACACTTGAATAAGTCGTGCTAAAACGAGATATTAATTAGAACATGTTAGGAAACACTTTTTTAATACTTGAACATGGTTGCGTCTTTCATCCAAGCTGATATTTAAAGGGGATGCAGATAAAGACAGTACAAACTTCATCTCGGGTCATACACTTGGTTCACGGGGAGATTTTCTGTTGAAGTTGGAAAGCTCGGCATCATACGTTCATTTTATGTATTCGTGTTCCTTTAACATGTCAGAAGTAAAATTTGCAGTTTGTAAGAAAGAATATCTGTAAAAAACAAGATCCCTTATGACAACGTCCTTTGTATTTCTACTTCTTTAAAAGAAATACCAGTAACTTTCATGATTGACACTCACCATATTAGCTTCGTTGATGGAGTCTATGCTATCCACGTATAACATAACTTCGATATCTGTTGCCGTGTCTGAAAAATAACATAATAATAATAATAAGAAGAAGAAGGCTTTCTGTTAGCTGGTGTGGACAAGTCACTTCCCACTCGAAACCGTCAATGTGTGATTTTACATCAAAATGTAAATATGAAATAATGTAGATTATGCAATGAATTTAATGAGACTCCAACACATTGTCAGTGGATTCCCAGCTTTGGCACAAACACAGTATCTTAAGCGACTTGATGGTGCAGCTCGATCATTTCATCACCGTCTTCGCCATGCTTGTGGTTTTGACACAGAGGTCCATCCATGGTACGACCCGGAATATGCAGAAGACTTCATGGAAAATGATAAATACAAAATTCTTTGGAATAGTCCCGTTTACAGCCGCAGACGTATCCAGGCCAACTTCTTGACAACTTCTTTATTATGAGGAACACAACGTTACGGAAGTATATACTTACTCCTTAAGGCATCAGGTGAAGAAGTTGACATCCATACATTCTATTCCTTAAATGTGTCACTTCGAAATGCCTTTCAAAGACTTCAACATGCAACATCTTCAACTGTACTTTAGTCTAGTTTGATTTCATTAAAGATTTCTCTTACTAATACGGGGGGCACGGGTGGTCAAGTCGTCTAAGGCGCCCCGATTCGCTGAGCAGAGTTGCATCCCTAGGGCACGCCAGAAACCTATGATTGTGGGTTCGAATCTCGGTTCGCCCCGATTATGTTTCTAGGTTTGTCAGCACCATACCCGTGCTCGCTGGTTTCACCGAAGTGGTTAACGTCTGAGAACTGCATCACTTCGGGCTTTCCTCCAACATTAAGCTGACACGCCGCGATATAACTGGAATACTGTTAAAAGCGGCGTTAAACCCAACTCACTCACTCACTCTTACTAATACCCATAAGTACGTCTTATAAATCAATTGCGCTCAAAGCACTCCAAATCCAGAGTACGGAATCATAGAAGGAATGCATGCAATTCACCTCCATCTTCATCAGTTCTAATTTTGATGCTATCGAGCGCAAAAAAACATTATCAGCAACATTAATTGGTCGAACAATTGAAATAACTAGGTGCAGTTTCAGTAAAATATGTTAACCTAACTGTATATTTTAAGAGTTCTAGTTCCAGTACGTACTAAACACTCGGCGGCCCAAAGGAATTCACTTGGATGCCGACCAACATGGGAGTTATACTGAAGGATTGATGAGAGCAACTGTGTGAATTTCATGAAGGGTTCCAGATGCCTATAATTGCTACAATATTCAGAAAAAATAATCAGCTTCATTTTTTACTGTCAAAATGATGTATAACATCAGGGATCCGTATCCCATTATACAAGAAACATTGACACCCGGGGAAGACATACTGGATATGTGTCAATACCACCAACCAGATCCTTGCGGTACGTTCTCACATATTGATATCCAATCAATTATGACTTTAAGATAAAGAAGGGGCATTATTAGCCGTATGGGTCGCGTCGACATGAATAACGCCACCGGAAGTAACCCTGATTTATGTTCATTCCTGTTTACCAGACCGCCTCCGTGGTCTAGTGGTAGAGCGTCCGCCCGGAGAGCGGAAGGTCCGGGGTTCGATCCCCGACCGCGTCATACCAAAAGACGTTAAAAGATGGTACTTGTTGTTACCCTGTCTGGCGCTCGGCATTAAGGGGCTAAAACAAGGACTGGTCGGCTCGGAGTCAGTATACTGTGTCTGAGTGGGGTATTCATGTTAAAACTGCGGCATGGTATCTCAGTGAGCTAGCACTATAAATCGGCATCAGTCCGGACTAGTACAAGCAGCCACACACACACGTGCATGCACGTCGCTATATAAGTGCAATAATCTGGGACGCGACGTTAAACCCCATTTCACCTCACCTCACTCCTGTTTACCATGTAGAAGGCCTTAACTAGCACATGTTGTTTGAGGTAGAAACACCACGCTGCCTTTCTACGCTAATTTATGTGAAGGTTTAGTGTCCTTTATCTGGTTTATTATTTATTTTTTGAGTGAATGAGTTGGATTTAACGCCGCTTTTAACAGTATTACAGTTATATCGCTGCGTGCCAGCTTAATGTGGGAGGAAAGCCCGAAGTGATGCAGGTCTCAGACGTTTACCACTTCTGCACGGGTATGGAGCTGACAAACCTTGAAACATAATCGGGGCGAACAGGGATTCGAACCCACAATCATAGGTTTCTGGCGTGCCCAAGGGACGCAACTCTGCACAGCGCATTGCGGCGCCTTAGACGACTGGGCCACCCATGCCCCCTTTATTTCATTTTTTTATATTTTTTATATTTTTTATATATTCTTTAACTGACATATTTAGAAATAGTAGTACGTTAAGAGCTGAATAGTTGATAGGGCCAGTACAACCGTGGTGAGTATATATAGTGAAAGGCCGCAGTCGGCATTGTTCCATCATTATCAGGGTGGTCTGTAAATAACTCGCTAGATACAACAGGGTTAATCACACGAGCAATGTCTCGTTAGGGTTTGATGAAAGACAATGAGCGAAGGCAACGAGCCTGAACACCCGATGCAGTTTATTCTCCACTTACGACCTCTGATGTGAGGTGAGGTGAGGTGAGGTGAGGTGAGGTGAGGTGAGGTGAAACTGGGTTTCACGTCGCGTCCAAGATTATTACACTTATATACGATGTGTGTGTTTGTGTGTGTGGCTGCTTGTACTTGTCTGGACTGATACCGATTTATAGTGCTAGCTCACTGAGATACCATGCCGCAGTTTGACATGAATACCCCATTCAGACACAGTATACTGACTCCGAGCCGACCAGTCCTTGCTTTGTAGCCCATTAATGTCGAGCGCCAGATGGGTAACAACAATAACCATCTCTTAACGTCTTTTGGTATGACGCGGCCGGAGATCGAACCCCGGACATTCCGCTCTCCGGGCGGACGCTCTACCACTAGACCACGGAGGCGGTCTCTCTGATAGAGAGTCACCGGTAAACAGCAACTGTTGGGAACTGTATCTGGACTTGATGACAGCGTAATGGACCTAAGAGGTGGATCATGGTGGTAGACACACACACGCACGCACGCACGCACGCACGCACGCACGCACGCACGCACGCACGCACGCACGCACGCACGCGCACGCGCGCGCGCGCACTCAGATACACACTTTTGAAAACCACACTGGACCCCTACATCTATATTAAAATGAGACCCTTTCCATGATCGAAATAAATCTCTGTTAAAAGTATTATATTATCTGACTATGTCATAATCGTGCGTTTGTGAATCACTATAAAATAGTGACGATGCATGTGGTTATTGAGAAGGTGAGCCTGCCGTGTTCCACTGGTGGCACCCCTAACACCCGTAGAGACAAATCAAATCTTCACCTGACAAAATCGTGAACATATGTACAAGGTCAAAATAGGGTATTTCATCGGACAGAAATTTGGTCATTGATGCGTCAAATGTGTAAATGACCTCCATATGTCTGACATAAACTTTTTGAAAGCATTGGAATGCTTTTATCCCGATCATACAACTTTTGCCCTATGACGCTCGTTGAAATCTTCCCGCACCGAGCATGCTCGAATGTACTTCGAAAGTTGTAAAATGTCGACATCAAAGAGTGGAATAAAGCTCGACGTGAAGGGAAAGTTGTCTAATTGAAAGTCATCCCTCTTGTCATACAGATATTTCTTTGTCACTCTAAATCACAAGGAAGGAAATTATATCTATATATTATAACTGTAAATAGACGAATTTATTATTATCACTTGCCCTCCTCTTTTTGTCGGATCTACACCCCACTTTCCTTACGCCTCACCTTTAAGATATTCCTAGATCTGGCTTTATAAACAGCTGTGTACATAAAATATTTTCAACATTCAATTTTACTGAGGACTTTTCAAAATAAATTAGAATTACCAATAACATGATTTTTTTAACGTTAATAAATAATCACAAAAACATCGTTTATGGCATTGATTAATCATCGTTGTATTTTACCCTAATTCCAAAACCCTTAAGAAAACATTCCGTATTTAGGTGATTTATCGAGATAAATTGAACAGCGTGATCCTTGCATGCCCAGAGAACTAAAGTGTGGGGATGAGCTTATTTTATAGGTGAGAGAGTTAAACACGGCCACAGCTGGTCGGAATGAAACCCGAGAATAAAATCAATTTCAAACATTTGGTGTACTTCGCAACTTCACTTCCTGGCAGTGTTGCATGTCTGTTATTTACTCATCGACAGTGACCCCGGGTGCCCTTGGGCATGCACCAAATACTAATACCAGAGCTTACGCCAGTAATAAGTTAAGGCAACACTCTGTAATTATCGTCCAAGCACAATATTATCACGCGGCTCCAGAACACCGACTCGCTGTGGATTGCATTTCCATGGCTCTCAACATTAAAGACTTCAGTCATGGTCTCATCAGTGACCGATTTGGAATATCGCCTGACAGTTTGAGCAATAAATTCATTATATCTGCGCTTTGTGTTTTGTTAGTTAGTTTGAAAGTAATATCGTTGTGATAAATATGTTAGAAATATGAATTAATTGGTTTTACATTGATACAACTGTGTTTTACTTCGCGGGGCTAGCCGAATCGACAACATACTTTATTGTACAAGATTATCGCCACTTCAGTTTTATCTCATTGACTTCAGGGGAAAGAGTTCCACCCATTTGGAAAAAAAACACATGCGACAACGAGGACATACAGTGAACTACGGTTATAACGAACTCAAAGGTACCACTAATTGTAGTTCGTAATAACCGTAGTTCGTTATAAGCATATATACAGCATGTATGCAACACACGGCCGGGACTAAAAAATAAGTTCGTTATATCGGTCAGTTCGTTTTAAGCGTGTTCGTTATAACCGTTGTTTACTGTACTGATATCTTCGTTCATTAAAGAAAGTGGAGAAAATACGTTCCTTGTGTTGTATAACCAACAGTACGATGGTAACCTAACATCGATTTATAACTGAACTTCCTTCTGTTTTTGCACCAGCTCCAAGAAGGCTCGACTTATATACATGCATATATATTTGAGGTTAGCCGTTCAATGGTTAAGTGGTGAAGCTAGATTGTATGAAACTCTTATACATACAATCCGTTAAATAATTTGCATGTGACGTAGTTGTAATGTTAAGGCCTAAGGGTACGAAGGAGTGCAATGCGAAGAAGAGTTATTGCCTTGGAAACATCAGAACCCTCTGCCCTGGTACTTGTTAAATCTATTTTGGACTTGATTTGGAGGGATTATGCCAGCCCAGTAACGATAGGTGTTATCGCCGTGTTCCCGCACACTGCAACCTTTCAGGCACGTTGATAACATCAACGCAAAGATAGCACGAGAAGAACTAGCAGAGCCTAGTGTTAGAGACAGATGGCTGCTCGTGTTGAACGCAACAGGCGGTTACCTGAGTTATAGTTTGGGGGCGTGTTCTTGACATCCTGGTCACCTGTTTTGGCCGTATTTAGAAGTAGTTCCAAAAGTTGAGATCTGAAAAATAGAAATGTGTTTTATTAAGTGTTGCTGATATACGACAGTCAAGCATCAAGGTCTTCAGAAGCGTCCCACCAGCATACTCCAGTGTGGACTTTCCCCCCACATCAAACTGACACGCCGTGATAAAACTAGAATACCGTTTAAAGCGGTATTAAACCAACTCACCCACTCCAACCTGGTCACACACTCTAATCTAGCCTGCCATTATATGCGACACATGTGTTTGTATAGGTTAGGGGGAAGTGACGTTGATTTCCCATTAACTGCGGCTGTGGGTAGCCTAGTGGTTAACGCGTTCACTCGTCATGCTCAGATTCGTGTTCAATTCCCCACCTGGGTGCAATGTGTGAACTTCATTCAAGAGCTCCCCCGCCGTAACGAGGAATATAAGAGGCATAAAACCCCACTCAGCCACTCAATTTCTAATCAGCAAGGCTCGCCGAAATGTAACTTCAATAACCGTTTGACACTTTCTGCAAAAAGTGTTATTCAACACACATTCATGTTTAAAATGCGTCATATATATTTAATATATATGATGATATATTCATGGTGGAGGGAATTAAATGATCTGTTTATTTAGAAAATAAATACTAATTATTGACACCCTCACATTAAAAATAGATAAATAAACATTTCTTTCAAATAGTTACTTGTCATGGAAACTGACGTCGGCACAACGTCACTTGCAGAGAAGGCGATTAGAACGTGTAACGTCGTCTCGATTGAAAAAATGACAAATGTTGTAGACACTGGATGCACTTGATCAAATGCCGAGTGTATCTGGTCGATCATTAATATGGTATGAATGCTTTTGATAAAGCTGAGCCTCGCGAGAACGTAATCACGCCATCTGCAAACGGCCTTCAGACTGACCTTATTGAACTCATTACTCATCGTGAGACCGTAGAGACTACGATGTCACTAGCAATGGACAGATAAGGTATGCTCGTGAAAGGGGAAATGATGCGTAAGCCCATAAAAGGAAGAGGTGAAATGATTTGATTTAGACGGGATAGGTGTACAAGAATTGCGACGTTTTAACGTCGACGTTTAATAAGGCAGTGGTCGGTGGTTCGATGTCCGGTTGAGTCATACCAAAAGACGTTTATAGTTGGTACTTGTTGTTACCCTGCTGGTGCTCGGTTTTAAGGGGATACAAGGAGGACTTGTTGACTCGGAATCAGATGATTATGACTGAGTAGGGTATTCATGATCAACTGCCGCATGGTATCTCTAGCACACACACACACACACACACACACACACACACACACACACACACACACACACACACACACACACACACACACACACACACACACACACACACACACAGAGAGAGAGAGAGAGAGTCACACACACTCACACACACACACAGAGTCACACACACACACATGTGCGCGCGCGCACACACACACGTCCATGTTCGTCCCTACATCAGTGCAAAAATAACTGTCACTAAGTAAGACCTCATATAATCACAAATATAATTTTGCATTTCTATATACTTGTAACAGTCGCTGACACTAACAACAAACATACCGTTAGCAATCTTTTTTTCCATATCTGTACAAATGGCTCTAAATAGGACCTCCTGTCATTGTAATATTTTTTCATTTCTGTAAACATGTGAATAACTAGGGCTAACTCGTGTCGTTACCAATCATTTTCAAAACGCAAATGTCACTGATCCTGACAAGGACCTCATGGCATTACAAAATATCGACACAATTACCACTCATCACAAATATTAAAATACAGCCATGACGTTTCACTCCGTTGTTTGAACTGTGGATTATTTACCAATTCACTGTTTACCGACCTCCATTCTGCAAGACAAATGTTATGCCCACGCATTAATTCTAAGCACGTGCATTACGAATGTACTGGCTAAAACGATCAAAACCGCACAAAATGCACCTGCGGTACGACGAGTTTTTTCATTTATTTATTGATCTATGTAACTGTCAGGTTCTATTTTAAACCTGATTACACAGTCTTTTGTTACTTTGATGGCGTATTTTAAGTCAATAGAAAGACCTGGTCGGTAAAATTGTAATACAAACATAAGGTGAGGTGAGGTGAGGTGAGGTGAGGTGAAATTGGGTTTAACGTCGCGTCCAAGATTATTGCACTTATATAGCGACGTGCATGCACGTGTATGTGTGTGTGTGGCTGCTTGTACTAGTCCGGACTGATGCCGATTTATAGTGCTAGCTCACTGAGATACCATGCTGCAGTTTAACATGAATACCCCACTCAGACACAGTATACTGACTCCGAGCCGACCAGTCCTTGTTTTAGCCCCTAAATGCCGAGCGCCAGACAGGGTAACAACAAGTACAATCTTTTAACGTCTTTTTGTATGAAGCGGCCCGGGATCGAACCCTGGACCTTCCGCTCTCCGGGCGGACGCTCTACCACAAGACCACGGAGGCGGTCGACTACAAACATAAAGTACACCATGTCGGGTATTAAATAAACAACCTATGTTAAACGAGCTATCGAGTCTAGATGAGAAAATAGGGAAGGGTAAACAAGAAACCCTTTGGACAAAACCCTTGGCACTATTTTCCCCTAAATCCACACACGGTAGACGGGCATTATAATATAGAAGATGGGAAGTAGGAGCGAATGCCTTCCGGGATCCAGGTCAGGTCTTAGATCTTCCCCCGGACAGTGATGAGGCCTTTATCGTGAGCTGTAACTCATGACTGGATGGGGCATTTGTCACATCAAATCGACATCTTTTACTGCTGAAAGTATTTGAGAAGCCGTCGGCTTAAGACACAGCTAGCAATGGGAGTTATTGTGCATTGCCGTGTGGAACAGTACTTCAGTCATATCGCGGCGTGTCAACTTCATGTCGGAGGAAAGCCCGAAGTGATGGAGTTATTTGATGGTTGCTGAAACTCACAAGCACGGGTATGTCACTAGGACAACATTGTTATGGATGAGCAACTTCTTTATTACAATTGGGCGACGTTTCGGTGTAGATTCTAACACCGTTATCAAGCAAATGATGTACAAACTAGGTATGAGCGTGATATATATACATAACAATGGATAGATGTAAACAGATAATTCTCTTGCATAAATTTGTCTTATCAAAACTACCTAATCAATCAGTGTACATCAACCTTATCTGTTATATAAACATCTATCTATTGTTATGTATATATATCATGCTCATACCTAGTTTGTACATCATTTGCTTGATAACGGTGTTAGAATCTACACCGAAACTTCGCCCAATTGTAATAAAGAAGTTGCTCATCCATAACAATTTTGTCTTAGTTACCATTCAAACTTCTAAATGCCACTCAAAGAAGTCACGGGTATGTCGCTCAAAAACCTATAAACAAAATAAGGGCGAATCTTTGATTTAAAACCACCGTCATAGGTTTCTGGCTTGCGTAAAGAAGGCGACTCCGTACAGAGAATTGCGGGTCCTGAGACATTTGGGCCATCTGTGCTCGTCAGTAACAAGGTAATCATGCTGTCCATGATACTGGAAGCCTCCAGTGGAATTAAATAGAAAAAAAAGTTTATTTTTGTGACGAGCACTGTGTGTTTGAAGATTGAACAGACTTATATCTCATTATGTTATTGTGTAGAGGATATTTGGTCCCAACGCTATAATCTAAAACTAAACACCAGATGTGGCCATGATACGTTTTCTGTTTTTTACACATGATGTGGACCTTGGAATAGAAGTTGAAATATGTTTTAAAGTGAATACAGTACACAGAAAATGTAAAATTACATCTAACTGAATGTGTGTGTGTTTTTTTTGCGAGATAGTTAGTTCAAAAAGGCATGAACTGAGCCACATGTGAATAATACGCGTATGTACATGTGTAATGAGATTGTGTATGAAGCGGAAACAAATACGCAATAACCTGATACAAACATGTAACTGTTCTTATGGTAAAACTAGTTGATCGGCACGGAATATTTAAGTCAACAGTCGCCGTGATTTCAGAATTCTTCCTCAGTTAATATACTGTCATTGTATGTGGCATTATTTGATATGTCACTTACACTACGTTCTTTGATCAGACAATTAATGCAGTGATGCTAACATATAATGGTTATGCTATGTGAGGCCTTGTCTGTGGAAACAACTCAAAACACTTCATGTTGTGCACACAGAATTTGGATGACAGCTGGTTCGGACAGAATAGGTTTGTTCCAATTTTCTGTTTCCTCTTTTTCATTCTACCAATGACAACATTACTGGCTGACTTCTCTACTGATCGCCTCCGTGGCCTTGTGGTAGAGCGTCCGCCCGGAGAGCGGAAGGTCCGGGGTTCGATCCCCGGCCGCGTCATACCAAAAGATATTAAAATATGGTACTTGTTGTTACCCTGTCTGACGCTCGGCATTAAGGGGCTAAAACAAGGACTGGACGGCTCGAAATCAGTATACTGTGTCTGAGTGGGGTATTCATGTTAAACTGCGGCATGGTATCTCAGTGTGCTAGCACTATAAATCGGCATCAGTCGGGACTAGTACAAGCAGCCACACACACACACACACACACACACACACAATAGTGTTATTAGTGCAATAATCTTTGACGAGAAGTTAAACCCCTTTTCACCTCACGTCATCTTCTCTACTGACCCACGTTTCGACATATGCTTGGAGAACATCCATTCTGCGTCAGATTTGAATGGTAATAACTGACGAAGGTTGTATTGGTCAATATTAGAGAAGTTGCCTGTGACCATATGACCAACAGGTTGGTAGCAGTATCTCTAATCGATACTGGGCCCCTTTCTGCATTTCCCTCTCCGAAATTACCATAAATCCACAAAAAGCCAAACAAAATCAGATTTAAACGCCAAACGACAGACGTGAAGAATTCCGCATTCATAGGTGGGTGTTATCTGCTTTACCAGTGGGGAGCGTGACTGCAGTAACGTTTTCGCATTTCAAAAGATGTTCCATATTATATTATCTGGCAGCAAATACGTCAGAGCCTC